CCCTTAAGGAAAAAAAGAACAAACAAAAACCTGGATTCACTGGCTCCTGCAGCAGCCTCAGGGCTTTGGGGAGTTCATGCAGATCCCCCTACACAGTGGGGGGCAGTGGGAATTGCTCCCTGCCAGGCAGAAACTGATGAGTCCAGGGGGTTTTACTTTGTTTTTTCTCAAAGGGCCAGGAGCTGGGGCAAGCAGGGCAGCTGTGCGGGAGCTAGGACAGTGGGGGGCAGGGAACCTGTGGCAGAGCCTCCCATACAGCATGGGACAGTGGGGGACAGCAGGGATCGTGCCCCCCCCCACCCACCCAGCAGCACCCGGTTAGTCACGGGTTTTTTTTCTTCAAAGTGCCGGGAGCTGGGGCAGCCAGAGCAGCCATTGCCGGGGCTCGGAGAGCAGGCAGGTGATGGACATGTATGATTCAGCCAAATTGATTCGGGACAGTGATTCAAATCACCAAATCAAATCACTGTCCCCTGAATCAGCCAAATCTGAAGCAAAGACTAGCTGCTTTGCACTGGCCTACTGAATATTTTAACCGTGTTTGCAGAGTTTCCTGTTTCCAGGAAAAAGCATATGCCAATATTACCTCTGTAGTCCTTAAATCTCTTTAACACTGAATTGATCTTAGCACCTGGAAAAAAATCTGCACAGCTGTCTTTTGACTTACTCCATAACATTCAAGCTTAAGATATTCTAACAGCCTAAATACCAAATTTTCTAAATATAGGACATGTGAATTAGTTAACATATATGTTCATTTACTAGAGATGGTGAGATGAGCATCTTTCCAAAATACTCATGTTTTGTAATAACAAAATATCACCTCACTCTGGCATCCTAAGGAAAACCTAAAACCTTTCCAAATGGATTCCAGAAGAACTATCTTTCTTTTAACTCCTCCACCAGTTCCAAAGGCCTCCAGTCCCATGATGCTTCTGTCCTCTCCTTTAACCCAATCTCTAATTTCTGTCCTTTTTCCTCTTATGTAAAAGTGGTAGAGGATTTCCCTACCTATTCTGTTTGATACATGTTGAGTACTGTATCAATCAGCCTTGTATCACATGCCTTTTTGGTCAATTGCACATCTTCAACCAAGAGTGTACATGAATACCTGTAATGTTGTTTAAGAATTTCAGTTTTTTCTCATCAGAGTCTCATTTTTAGAAGGAAGGAGAGAGAGATGATGAAGCGTCCTTAGCTGCATTAAAAATAGTTCCTTATTCCCCTAAAAATGAGGTTTCAACTATACAGTGATTGCGAAGAAATTTAACAGTATATACAAGTGTCAAATACTCAACAGATTGAGGAGATTGTTACTGGATGAGGACAGTGGTTGTTTTTAAATAGTCTTCATTGCTGTGGTATCCAAGTGCCAAATTAAGAATAATATTAACCTTCTGGAAATTCCAGTTCACAAAGTATGTTAAGAGATGTTTGTCTTTGGAAAAGATTTCCAATTATTTACCTTAATTGAAGTGTAGTGTAACCTTTAAATCTCTGCAAAGTGTGTGCTGTAAGAAGATGGAATTTATGTAATAGCTTTTCTTTTCCCTCCATCTCTGGCGATTAGGAGGCTGTGATTCTTAGAGTTGTTACTATTTGGCCAGATTTTCAGAATAGCATACATGGAATTGTTTGCAAAAGACTTGTACATTAGGGCTGTGTGAAGCTTTGGTCACTGATTTGATTTGGTGGAGATTCAACCCCACTCGTTGGCCAAATCCCCAAATCTGAACAGAATCAGGAGACCCTTTAATCGCTCCGAATCAAATCAGAACCCTCCGAATCCATTTGGAGAGACTCGTAAAGATTCGATGATTCGGACATAGACACAGCTTTACATGCTTTTTCTACATACCTCAAGGTACCAGGCAGCTTGTGAATGCTGAGATGGTGAGGTGGATGAAGCGTCCCACAGGAGCACAGGGGGGTCCCCAGCGTGCTCAGCAGCAGACCCAGAAGTGGACCAGAAGCACTGGGTCTGCCGGGGACCATGCAGTCCCCCTGCCCGCCGGCTCAGTGACTGGTGCCTCCTGGATGTCAGGAGGCACTCAGGGTCCCTCCACAGCTGATGGCCAAGCCAGTGAAGGCATGGGGGGGGCCCTCAGCATGCTCGGCAGTGGACCCAAAAGTGGACTGGAAGTACTTCCGGTCCACTTACGGGTTCGTCACTGATCACATGGCACACCCCTTCCCCTCCTCCCCACCCCCCCCCATACTCCTGTGGGACACTTCATCCACCCCACCATTACAGCATTCACGAGCCACGCTGGTACCTCAAGGTATGTAGAAAAAACATTTAAAGTTCTGTCTGTGGTCAAATCTCTGTTTCTCCAAATCAGCATCAAATCTTCAGATTTGGATTCAGCCGAATCGAATCAGGGACAGTGATCTGAATCAACTAATTGAATCACTGTCCCCGATTCAGGCTGAAGCCGAATCTGAATCAAATATGACCCATTTCGCACACCCCTATTGTACATGCTACTGTGTATGGAATTACAGCCAGAACATATGCAAGTAGCCTGTTAGGATAGATGTGATTTGCATACATAGGCCACTGACAGATGTGGGGGGCAGGCGAGGGGAAACAACAGCGCTTTACCGAAAGAGGAGCCACATCAGTTTGACCCAGCTCACCCCATGTCTATAAACGGCGCACTTCAGCGGGGCTTCTTGGCACTTTTACCTAATCGTTGATTTGGGCCCATAGATTTTTGTTTCTTGCTGCTTGCTTGCTTGCTTGCTTGTTTTGAGCTGGGGGGTGGTTTTTGGTTTTTTGAGTCAAGTAAGGGGTTGGAGTTTATTTGGGGGGGAAGGGTTTATATGTATTTTTCTTTACATGGTTCCAGTTATTTTATCTTTTTTTAAAGAAATATAAAGAATTCTCAGATGATCTTTATTCAACAATTTAGAATTCTTATGTGGTTATGGCAGAATCAAATCATACTAGCAATTACCTTTAATAAATAAATAAATAAAAGAAACACAGCTAATTGACCTGTTTAGTCTCTAGTTAGAAAGGATTCCCAATTACCAGGATGCATTTCAAATCCCTGATCTCAGATAAGATCCATTTTTATAGTATTTTATTCTTCTTACTTAAGCCTGTTATTTTAAATATGCCAATATACATCAGCACTTTAGCAACAGTATACATTTAATTTTAACAATGATAACAACATTTAATGTTAATATACCTTTGATTACATCCTTAAACCAAAAATTTTGATTACACCCATAAACCAAAACATGTTAAATACAAGGCTCTGCTTCAGGTCAGTGTTCCTTAGTGATTCCCCATATCAGAACTGTACTCTCATGAGGGAGGAATTCTCTTACCCTTTGGGTGTGCCTGTATGCTCTGTCGCAGAGCACCTCGGGGCTCTGCTCCTAGAGGGGAGAAACTGCCAGGGAGAGAGACAGAGCCCTGGCAGGTCATAACGAGCCCAGCTGAGTGTCACCAGGGTAACGAGCCCAGCTGCGGGTTGCCGGGGCAACTAAGGGGAGCCAGCTGCCTGTAGGAGGCAGGGCCTGGCCCTTATAAAGCCCAGGGCTGAGACC